CCGCTACAGACTTCGCCTCTGCAGCTAAGGATGTCAGCTTCTGTGTTTGTGCATCCAAGGCGAAGGACTTGCCTCTTGCCGAATAGACAAATGGCGTATGCTGTATGGATGAGGATTGTGCTGCTCGGATGTGGGAGAAAATGACAATGACAAGGACGAGAGACAGGAGAGGGGAGCGAACTGTTGTGGAGCGCCAGATACGACGACTATCTACGAGACTAAAGTGTGAAGAGCCGACTGTCGTGGTAGTTCCAAAATTGCCACCATCACTGTGCCTAAGCTGTTGTCAGGGAAGGCGGCTTCCTGCTGCGACAAAGCCTGCCTTGATAACCTCAGGCTGGGTGCATGTGAGGGCCACACCTGCCTAACATATGGCATCTACGCGTAGAGCCTGGGGCTGTACTCACAAGGAGTGTTGCTGTCACCGACAATCGAAGCGGAACTAATCGCCAGAGCCAGTGCCATGCGATACGTGACAGAGAAGCATAAAAGCCTCGAAGCCACATCCTGCCTTGATGCGTTCTGCAAGCTGACTACGGCTCGGTGCCTCAATCTAGTTATGGACTATGTGGATCTCAAGATGGGCTAGTCTGCAGACGATACGCAACACCCTACTTCTGCCATGAGCCGGTTTGACCTTGTGCTGGTGACAGCTCACGTGGAGGATGCAGTAAATCACCTTAAGCGTACTTTTCAGTACAGTTGCGAAAGTGTGAACACGAGAGACGGCTGTCTGGAAATGGTCACACCCAGAACTTGAGAACAGACGACAGGTTGTCCGTCTTCTCTGCCATCCAGATACATGGCTCACAGGCATGACAAAAGTACTCACTGTGAGTAAGCGTACGGCGCGGCTAGCAGCCGATTCCGTTGTCGTTAGTACGCGCGATCTACTCGAAGACCAGTCGACGGCTGACCGCAGACATTCCCGTCACTTAACCAGCTTGGCCCTGCTGTTCTGACCGTTCAAATCCTGTTTATTGCCTAGAAATTACGGTACGGCGTATCTTGCACTGGCCACGACCGTGCAAGTGGCTATGGCCGGAGTACTGGTCACGCTAGTCATGGCTGGCCGATCGCAACGCCAGAATATCAATATGCAAACTGTCTCGGTAGACGATGCCACTGCCATGCAACTCGGTACATCAGCGACACTCGTCCGGCCCCGCTGCTCGCATTATAGAGTACTCTGACCTTGCTTCTGGAAAGCTTCAATCTGCAGTTGCTGACATGATTCCTGAATGCTACTTTTCTCCTGTGCAAACTTCACACCGTAAAGCATATCCTCCCCGGTGGATAGAACCACCATGGCAAGCCATGTAGCACCGATATCAGTACGCTGAGAAGTTGCCCAAAGCAAGGCCAAGCTCCACGAACCCACCAGTGGGTAAGTCTCTACCACAAGAAATCAAAGTATCCTCATACGATCCGACGAACATGATTGGGCAACTCACACTTCCACCGCCACTCGCCCCTTGTTTACATTGCGGATCGGTTGTTGTTGAGGCAAGCAAAGCTTGAGAAGATAGCTTGTACATGTTGTCCGTCCCGAAACCGGCCGCGGCTGGAGCCTGGTGTAGGCCTCCGAGGTGTCGTTGACATGACCAAATTGTTGGGCAAAGTAGTTTCCTGTTGTATCCAGTGAGCTCGCAATGTTGACAGGGAAGTCCAGAGCTTGCAGCCCGGTCTCGGAGACAGTCAGAACGTTCCAATTGGGGCGAGAGAAGCAAAGAGGCACACAAACTGTGGGATGAGAGCGAGGACGAAGATAGGATGCCCGTTTCACTTGTTGAGCACTGTAGGAGTGTACAGTAGTTGCCTGAGTTAAATAGGAAGGCCTGGGAAAGTGTAAAGGTGTCTGATGATATCCAAAGGAGATTACTTTCTTGCAGACGAGCACGGCACTTTCAAAATATCAGATGTTCTCTCCAAAACATCTTAGCATTTCTCAACGAGGTCCTCGTAACTTCTTTTCTTGCTGCTGATCTTTGCCTCCCGATCATCACTAGTTTATAGACTTCGAGACAGCGAGAGCTCCGGAACAGAGTTGTCATGGTCCATCCCAGACCCCCACGGCATTTCTTATCTCAACAGGCTCTACCAATACAACGCTTCTATGCAGCAACGTGAAACTTGCCACATGAAAATAGAGTCCCCACTAAGAGCTGCTAAGGAAGGTACGGCAAGGCGGTGATCTAGCACCATACTAGGTTAGCAGGTCTAAGCTCAATGCGCCTACGAGCGTGCGATCTAGGTACCACAAACAAAACCCACAGATCTTTTCGCAGAATTCGGTACTTCTCTGTCTCTCCTTCCTCTTCCAAGATAGCCCTAATTTAGTTGCATCAGCTGGCCAAGACTTTTTCCTCTCAACCAGAATTTATTCATGTTATTGCGGTTGACACTCTTATCCGAAATTATCACGGTTCTGAACTGTGGAGTCTCCAAAGGAATACGGGTTTCAGAAAGAAGCTTTAAGAAGAAGAGGTGGGGCTTGAATGATCGTCAGGTAGAAGAATAGCCGTGGAGTAGGTTTGAAGGTTGCGCCATACCCCAGAGGTTCATTGTGGGAAACACTGATCACCGAATAGACTTTTTCTTCTTTCAGATGAATGGAAACAGATGGCTGTGTCCATTCGTGGCGGATTCCTTTGTTTCGCTAAAGGACGTCATAATGACAATATATTACAGCTTGTCTGCAGACAAATATACGGATAACCTAATTGCAAATCAATTCCATTCCAAATTGAAGACCAGAGTTCTATGTTCTGATACGTGCTTACAAAGCAGGCCACTCTATCGCAAAGGGAAGTACGGAGTATTGCCGGCGTTCAAGCTTTTTCGGGCTACAACTCTTTCAGCGATGTGTCCGAGGCTATACCCGCACATCAGGAGTCTCACCATCTGTTTTCTCGAAAACGAGAGAATGCACATGGTGAAATGCAGTGCTGAGTGATACACTCGGTAACCCACCTTTCACTCAGGTCGATTTTTTACACTTTCGCGCATCTTCGACTTTCCGAAATCGATGCCCTAGTACATAGAGAAAGGCCATACCTTTGATATGAACCTTTGATAGAGTCATCATAACAATGTTTTTAAACCTCTAGCAGTCCTACGCGCTTTTTTTTTATTTTTTATTTCCTTTGGACCGGTTGGATAACCGAACCACATCCGTGTAGTTTCAGCGATGCTCTTGGCAATAGGCAATTTTACCTGCATATTCTCATTCTCGTTCCTGCATGAACCGCTTTACGTTGTACGCACCTGCCTGGTATTTGCATTGTGTCGTATTGTCAACCATGGGTACGAGGTTGTAGTATATATAATGATTTGAGTTCTTGCTACTACCAGAGAAGAAAGTGAGAATACGTCAGTGCGCGAATTCTGACAAGGGTTGCTCCGTAAGTGTACTATTATTCGAGATAGGAACACACACCATTGATACTCTCCTTCACCAAAGCCAAGACGAAAACGCGGTGTCCAGCAGCAGCACATGTGACCACATATTGCAACGGCCAGATGACAAGGATTTTGACGAAATTGAAATACGAAAAGTACGCGTACAACATCAGGCAGCTGATGCGACTCAATAATTGTGGAGGTTTGACAGGCCAAGGTCTCAGTCTGTCTATGGGTACAAAGCAGAAAGCTCTGCTTCGTCATGCTTTGCAAAGCACTGAAAAAGTCGGGCTAGCTCGCTGCAGTGCGCAATTGATCGGTGTTTGGTAGAGCAAATGATACCATCTAACGCTGGGAACATCTGTTGTAGCAGGTTGAGCAAACGCCGGATGTGATGGGGAAAGAGGATGGCAGCATCGCCACAACGCAAGCTATGCAAGCCGAGGCGTGCCGGGCTATTTCACTGGTCTGCCAATCGGCCGGCCGCAAACTTAATCTCCACTGCTAGCTGTCACCTGGAAACAAAGCAGCTCGAGGCAGGAAGTCCTGAGCAGTCCGCCCCGAAAAGCCCCGATAAGCAACAAGCCAGAGAAAGATGAGCTGGAACTGCTGATCGTGGGGATAAAATGTGGAGCTAAATTCGCACTGACGCTGTGGTGTCGTAAAAGACATTGGGCAAAGCTTAGACATGGCTTTTGCTCTGTTAAGGCTCTGAAAGGTTCGTAGGTCCAAACACCGAGACCGATCGATTTCTGTGGCGAATGCCCTGATTCGAATGCCTTAACAAATGTTAAGCAAATCCCGGGACCCATCCTACAAGGTACAGTTCCATGAACGGTCGGGGTCTAACCCGATTCTGCCGTAGTGCTAAAGCTAGGAATGCTGGCCGCCTGTCGGCAAGCTCATTACTAATGAGGAAGGGAAAGAAACCCTGCAAAGCATTCCAAACACCTACGAATAAGGTTGCTGTTGATTGTAATGGACATACTCGAACATGACAGCTACAAGCTGTCTTGCTGTGTTTACTTCTTCCATTTGCTCGCATAAATATCAACCCTCCAATTAGATACGAAGGGATTAGGTGCAGATCCGGTCCACCAATCTGGTTGTTTATCTTCTTCCTCCAGCAGTGGAGGCTCGTATCGGACGCACGGGACAGCAATGCGACCCCGATGTTGGCCAAGTACTCCGTACTCCGTACCCTGTACGGTGGTATCTGCCCGCCAAGCCGTCTGATATATCAGAACTGCACAAGACAAGAAATAATATAGGCTTATTAGCGCTCGATATCTCGGCACACATACGAATGCGCTTTTGAGCAGGGGCACCAGTCTCAGATCAGGCCATCCCGGCGATGAAGCAGGCAGAGACCGCACACCGTCCAGCCAGCTGACGCCGAAAGCAAGTGTAGAAACAGTAGCGCACTAGACGTCCAGGTTATACCGGGTCTACCGAAAAGTGAAAATAAGCAGACTCTTACTGGCACCGCGCTCTAGAGCTGGGATGTATATATATCCCCACGACGCCCGCCTCACGATGAGATCGCCGAATTGTCTAGCATACTGTAGGAATCTGTCTTGGGATACTTGCACGTTATCATGTTCGACACAGTTTCTCCCAGTCGCCTCTTGGCGCTCACCGTCTGCTCGCTTCCGCTTGTCTCGGCCGCGGCCTGTCCATTTGGCCATAGCAAGCGCGATGCTGTGCCTGACTTCCACAAACCTATGCTACAGGAGCGGTACAGCGCAGACGGGGCTGACTTTGGCGTGTGCCCGAGGAAGGCCAACGTCGCTGGCGGTGGCACGCGCAGCAAGGACTGGTGGCCCTGTGCCCTAAGCCTGGCTGTGCTGCGTCAGAATGCCGACCAGTCCAACCCACTGGGCGGAGATTTCGACTACGCCACTGAGTTTGCCAAGCTTGATGGTAGGTCGCCACGCCCAAGAATAAAGAAACCTGCAGAGACACCCGGTGCTGACCTGATGTACAGTGGAGGCGCTCAGGAAGGACATCACGGAGCTGCAAACCAACTCCCAGGAATGGTGGCCTGCAGATTTCGGCAACTATGGCGGCTTCTTCATCCGGATGGCCTGGCACAGCGCCGGTACCTACCGCCAGATCGACGGTCGTGGCGGATCTGGCATGGGCCAGCAGCGTTTTGCCCAGCTGAACAGCTGGGCTGACAATGCCAGTCTCGACAAGGCTCGCCGTCTTCTTTGTACGTGCTGTCTGACGGCCTAGCAGTCTGGCTCGCAGCTAATCAGCATTCTAGGGCCGATCAAGCAGAAGTACGGCAACATGATCTCGTGGGCCGACCTGATGGAGTTCACCGGCCACGTCGCCATCGAGAACATGGGCCTCCCTCTGTACGGCTTTGGCTTTGGCCGGGTCGACACCTGGCAGGCCGATGAGGGCATCTACTGGGGCTCTGAGCACGAGATGTACTCGCAGCCCGGCAGCTACAAGGACCGCTACAACGGCAGCACCGACATCACCGACCGTGCCGACAAGCTCGAGAAGCCGCTCAGTGCCACCAACATGGGCTTGATCTACGTCGACCCACAGGGTCCCAGTGGCAATCCTGAGCCGGCCGGCTCTGCTCTCGACATTCGCGAGACGTTTGGTCGCATGGGCATGGACGACGAGGAGACCGTTTCCCTGATTGCAGGTGGCCACACTTTCGGAAAGACCCACGGTGCTGTTTCTGGAGACTACATCGGTCCTGAGCCAATGGCTGCTCCCATCGAGCTGCAGGGTCTCGGGTGGAAGAACAGCTTTGAAAGCGGTGTGGGCGAGAATGCCTACACTTCTGGCATTGAGGTCATCTGGAGCAAGACGCCTACCAACTGGTCCAACCGTAAGATATTCTGGTCGTTGAAAGCCGGAAAAGAGACTGCGTGCTAATGGGTGGACGCTCCAGACTTCTTCGATTCCCTCTTTGGCAACAACTGGACGCTCGCCTCGAGTCCGGCTGGTGCACACCAGTGGGAGGCTGTCAACGGCAACGTTTCCATTCCAGACCCGTTCGTTGCTGGAAAGTTCCGGAAGCCCACCATGTTGACGAGCGATCTGGCTCTTCTCAACGACGTGTCCTACCTCAACATCTCCAACACTTTCTGGAACGACCCGAAGTACTTTGGCGAGACGTTTGCGCGCACCTGGTGTATGTTCTCCAAGTACTGCCTTCTCGTTTCACTCGATACTAATCTTCTGTCTCCTGCACAGTCAAGCTTCTCCACCGTGACATGGGCCCGATTTCGCGCTATCTCGGACCCTACGTCCCCAAGACGCAGCTGATCTGGCAAGATCCCCTCCCGACGGTTTCTTCCCAGACCATCGACGATGCCGATGTGACTCAGCTGAAGGCTGCCATCCTTTCTTCCTGCAACTTGAGCTCCGGCCTGAACACCTCCAGCCTTATCACCACCGCCTGGGGTGCTGCTTCGAGCTTCCGGATCTCTGACAAGCGCGGTGGTGCTAACGGCGGCCGCATTGCCCTGGAGCCACAGAACTCGTTCGCGGTTAACAACCCGGACCGCCTGAAGATCGTTCTGCCTGCTGTAAGCAAATGTGATGCGCATAGCCCTACTTCTGTGCTCCTTCTCCATTCAAACTTTACTAATGCCCTGTCTAGCTGGAGAAAGTGATGACCGACTTCAACTCCAAGAACACTGGGAAGAAGGTATCTCTGGCTGATCTCATCGTTCTTGGCGGCACCGCTGCAGTCGAGAAGGCGGCCAAGGATGCTGGCTTGACAGTGTCGGTTCCTTTCACCCCTGGCCGCGTGGACACCACCCAAGAACTCACCGACGTGAAGTCGTTTGCTTTCCGTATGTTCTCCTCAACCCAAACCGCCCCGAACACCATAACTGACTCCTCTCCTTTCAGTCGAGCCTGTCGCCGACGGCTTCCGCAACTACGGCCAGGGCAATGCTCGCGCCCTGACGGAGGAGCTGCTGGTCGACAAGGCCAGTCTTCTCAGCCTCACCGTTCCGGAGATGACAGTCCTTGTCGGCGGCATGCGTTCCCTGGACGCAAACTACGACGGGTCCAGCTACGGCATCTTCACTGACCGTCCTGGCAAGCTGTCGAACGATTTCTTCGTGAACCTGCTCAACATCTCGACCACCTGGACGGCTGTCAACGGCACCAACGACGAGATCTTCACGGGCACCGATCTGTACACCGGAGCCTCCAAGTATACGGCTACGCGTGCTGACCTGATCTTCGGTTCGCACCCCGAGCTGCGGGCCGTTGCAGAGGTTTACGGTTCCAGCACCGCGCAACAGAAGTTTGCAGACGACTTTGTCAAGGCCTGGGCCAAGGTGATGGACCTGGACCGCTACGATGTCAAGGGGCGCAAGCAGAACAATGTCCAGTAATTGTTCTGTCTGCAAATTTGTACTCATAGTTCTAAATTAGTAATATTTGATCGGTTGATATTCGAAGACAACGCTCCAGCAATCTTTTCGTCTGCTTGTGGCACAGTGAATATTACAGAAGGCTAAGCAGTAAAATATAGTTACAAAGTGCGCCGTACAGCACGTTGACTGCCTGTACCTTGGGGCACTATACTGAAAGCGTTAGCTAAAGCCTCCTAAGATTGGACTAGGCTGCTCAAACTAAAATCGCCCCTTCAACAACGAAATATACGCTTCAATGTAACCATATTGCACATGTGCATCAAAGTTTTCCTTCTGCGTGAAACTGGTTAACCGAAGCTGCTTTCGGACACCCCGTAAGTTTGCAGCAGTCTAGATGCTTCCGCAGAAATTCAAAAGCTACGGCATATGACCAGCACAAATCTAAAAATACGTCGGAGAAGAGCCACATTCAGTACAGCCCGACATATGCAGAATAAGTGAGCTTCGGCACGCACTTTGTGCCATTGGATCGAGTAATTTGGTTCGGTCACAGCGTGACATCCGCAGAGCATCTGCTTCTCCTTTATCCATAATAGTTCGGATAGCTTACCCCGCTGTCGAACCTGCCAGGTGATGATTGCAACCATGCACGAGAATGCTCTTTAGCCACGTCAGGGGATCTCGGAACGAAAGGCGGGGTAGAAATACGCTTTGTACAGGATACTTTCTAGACTAATCAGCACTAACGCACATCGTCGCATTTCCGATGCCAGGGCTCTAGGCTTGAAAGTTCAAATTGTCCTCCGTAACTGAAAGAAGTCGCATAGAGTACGTTCGGTATGGTATCTTACATGACAGAACGGGTTGTACAGACATTGAAGGAATAACAAGACATATTGTTTCAACAGTCACAATAGACCGATGAGGACACCAAACGGCATGGGTGATCTCTTCAGGTTTTCAGCCATGAAAACAGATAAACCCCGTACTTGTAATAGCATCTGAATCGATGCACGGATATGAAAATTCTTCATGCAGCCCACCACCGTATGATTTTAACTGCCATTCCTTATCCCTTTCTGCAGATGAAGTGGATGAATTTTATGAAAGCCTATGCAAGTCTGTCTCTCAGCACTCTACTCCAGCCCAGCCAGCACACCTGATGCGGGCACGAAGAAGACCGACCCAGTCAGCGCGGTCGAGTAGTCGAGTAGGCGATCGTGCAGCCCGGGTGGATCGCCGCTGAACATGCGCTTCAGCATGGTTTCGAGCACCCACAGGCGACGGGTGTAGCCGATAAAGTACGTGCCAAACTCGCCCGAGCCCGGCGACCCAAAGGGCATATTGTCACGCAGGATTTCCAGCTCTCCGCCTTCGGACTCGACCGTGTTGAGCGTCTTGTGAGATCGCTGGACGGTCGCACCGTCTGCATCGGGCAGCTCTACGTTGTCGAGCTTCGTGCGGCCGATAATAGCCTCCTGCTCCTCTGTCCGGAGGCGTGTCCAGGCGGTCATGTCGTGGACATACTTTTGCACGACCACATAGCTGCCACCAGGAGCGGCCGGCGAGGAGCTGTCGTCGTCCGCAGCGACCAAAACGGCCTCGTCCACGGCCGTGCCGGTGGGATTAGCCGTGCCGTCGACGAAGCCGAGAAGATCCCGGTTGTCAAAGTATCTGGCCCAGTCAGCCGGCCGAAAGGATATGCCACACGCAGGCTAGACAAGGAAAAAGACGCACCGAAATCCGACAGTCTCATCCACCACCGTCACCGCATCGCCCAGGCTGGCCAGCAGCTGCCGCTCCAGCTCAAAGCACAGGTCCCGTCTCTCGGCGCGGATGTGAAACAGCACGTCACCGGGCGTCGAGACAGCCGTGTGTTTTGGCCCTTGAACGGCCTGGAAGGGATGCAACTCGGCCGGCTTCGGCAAGCCAACGACGGCATCCCACACTTTGCTGCCGATGCCTGCAGTACAGCTCACGTGACCGTTAAGGTCACGGAAACCCACCGTCTTGACGAGATCGTCCAGGCCGGCGAGTGCCGACCGCACAGTCTGCACCGTCTCGGCCGCGTCGCCATTCACGGTGACGACCAGGAAGACGGCCGAGGCGGTCAGAGGTGCATCGACACGCTGCGGCACCAGCTGGGCGCGATGGCTTCCAGCCGGTTGTGTGGTCATCGCTGCTGCTGCTGATCGAAAACAGTGATGAAGAGGCTGTGTGTACACAACGCAACGTTTATTCCGAACCAGAAAAGATGCGCCGTTCCAGATACCTCTTCCTTTCATGGACATATCAGCCTGCAATCAGCAGGTTGTTGTAAGGTTGAAATAGGGACAGCTGTATGTACTGCTGGCGGAGGACTGTCTGCCCACTGTGGTCTGCTTTAGGGCTTACTCAGAACCAAGAGGCCTCTGTCCAGCCGCCGGTTACTACGCTCCGACTGTGATTGGCTTTCTAGAAACCGGACTGGTGGCGCTTCATGGGCTGCCGAGATCGCAGAAATGACGTATTTGCTCGAGCACGGGAATTTGTCCCTTTTGAAGCTAAAATGGCTACTGGTATTTACATCTCCTGCGGCTTGTAGCAATTCTAGCCGATGTGCAGCTATATTTATATTGGGCACAAACTAGTTATGTAAAAACGGCCAATATCCAAACTACGTACTACTCTTCAAGAACAGATAGTGTCAGGTTAGCTACGAGCTTCAAGTGACCGAACCCACCCAAAAATACTCTCACACCTAGTACAGATCCTTGTGGGCAGACTTGATCAGGTCCGCTCCCTTCTCACCAATCATGTAGACCGAGTTCTGGATACGGCAGTCAGGGATGACGGGAATGACAGAGGCATCAATGACACGCAGACGGCTGACGCCATGCACGCGAAGTTCCGGGTCGACGACACCCTGGCCGATGTTCTTGGACAGCCGATTGGTGCCGCAAGGGTGGAAGGCAGTCTGGCAGCGATCCAGCACGGCATGCTTCATGGCCGCATCGTCATCGAGGGGCATGTCCCAGGGATACTCGTCGAGGACGAGATCACGGAAAGCCTCGCCTTTGGTCAGAACGTCGTAGCTGAAGCGGATGCCCTCGCGCATGGCCAGGATATCGAGATCGCTGGCAAAGAAGTTGAGGTTGATGTCGGGCTGCTGGCGCGGATCGGCGCTGCGGAGCTTCACTTCGCCAGGGTCCGACACGGGCCGGACCAGGTCGACGACCACGCTGGTGTAGCAGCCCTTTTTGGGCACGGGGTAGTGCCACTGGAAGGCGCTGCCGAACATGCAGACAAAGTCGAGCTCAAAGTGCGGCTGGCCCTCGGGCGAGAAAGGGTCGAGTCCACCGTTGGCCTTCTTGGCCTTGACGTAGTCCAGGTCGCGCTCCAGGTACTTGTCGATGCGCGGGAAGCCGACCATCTCGAGCAGGCCGGAGCCGACCGGACCGGTGCCGTCCTTCTTGTACTGGTCCACGGCGGCCGTGTTGAGAGGACCGGTCCGCAGCAGGTGGTCGTCCATGCCGAAGCCGTCCTTGACCTTGAGGACAAATGGCACGCCCGGGTGGTCGAGCAGGTTCTGGCCGACATGCGGTGAGTCCACCACCAGCGGGATCCCGTGCTGCGTCAGCTCCTTGGCCGGTCCGATGCCGCTTAGCATCAGCAGCTTCGGGCTCTCGAATACGCCCTGCGACACGATCACCTCACGGTCCGCATACACGCTGATCTCATGGCCCTCCGGCCCCGCCAGGATGGTCACGCCCATCGCCTTCTTGCCCTCCTCGTCAAAGAGCAGCTTCTTGGACAAGGACTCTGGCAGGATCGTGATGTTGGGTTTGTTCTTGACAAACAGGAAGCTGCCCGACCGACGGCCGTGGTAGATGGTGTCCACGCAGTGCGTCAGCCCGTTCATCTCGCCGTCGTAGATGTTCTCTGTGAACGGCTGTCCCGTCGACTTCCACGCCTTAGTCAGTGCCTCACGAAAACCCTCCATGCCGTCCAGCAGCTCCGAGTGCGAGATCGGTAGCGGGCCGCCAGCACCAATCTTGTTCAGGCTCTTGTCGTAGAGCCCGTGGTCGTCATGGTATGTAGCACTCTTGCGCAGGTACGGCACCAGCGGATCCCACGTCCATTCCTTGCCGCCAAACTCAGCCCACCGGTCAAACGTCGGCTTGCAGCCCGGCACCCAAGTGAAGTAATTGAGCGACGAACTGCCGCCCAGCGTCTTTCCTCGCGTGTTCGGCTTCTCGATCCGCTCGTAGTCCTCACGCTTGACTATAGTCGTCTTGTAGGCCCAGTCGTACTTGCTGCCACGCAGGTCCATCGCCTTGGCCGGTGTGGTGATATCCGGCACCTCCTCCGGGTTGCCCACTCCGGCCTCGACCAGAATCTTCACACTGGGATTATCCGCCAGGCGGCCGGCAACGACATTTCCTGCCGTGCCACCTCCAACAATAATAAAGTCATAGCGAGACCCGTTGGTAACAGGCATGGTGAGATATTGACTTGGGAAAATATGAATGTGGTTGTAATCGATCTTGGGCCTTGGATGTCTGTGTCCTTGGAATTAATTGTCTTCCATCAAGGTCGGAGGTCACTGGCTTCTTATAGCCCGGGCGCGCACACCCATGTCGTACTCCCATCACATTGCCCCTCCCACAGTCTGACCGGTTGCCGCGGTCAGCAGGAGTGGAAATCGGACTTCGGTATGCCCGCACCCTGCACAATTCTGCAAACAAACGTCACAGTCCTTACTCATGTCGAAGTCTAGATGCTGCAATACACCAGGCCGCATCTGTCGGCATTGCTTCCCCTCCTAGCCATGCCCGAAACGGACCCTATTCGAACGCGTACACGTGTGTGAAATCATCGACCATTGGCATCGTACTCTTTCCCTTCTAGGCCTTCGGTCCACTCGGCGTGCTTTGCACTCCTATGGACCAACTGTCCTAGAAAGAAGTAGACACATACTCATATCAAGCTCTGGAACTGCAGGTCATTGGCCAACTACTCTGTCCTCTTCGGGCATTTCGCTCAGTCGCACTATTTATCCTGCCAAACCCGGGACCGTTAGACCTGGGACCGTTAGACCTGGGCATGTAAGAGCGGGAAGTCGTTAGGGCGGTAGGCTACCCACCAGGCTCGTGCTCTGGTTATTGTAGAATGCGTCGCTTCGTAAATTCGTTAGTTTAGTACGCTTAGGATGGGCTTTATCGACAGGGTGAATTTGTATAAATATGATCGAATGGATTGGCTCGCCGGTGAGTCAACACCATTTAGCACATGTCCGATTGTTTTGGCTGCTTTGCTGAAGATGTACGGAGTAGGAGAACCCGCATTTCGTCACTTCAGATCTGCCGAGGACCTTTTTCCGGTTAGCTCAGTAGATCAAACATAAAAACCCGAGCTTGCTTTAGACTGTTATGTGGCGTAGTGTGTAAGCATCACTCGAAAGCCCGAGCAAAAGATGTTAAGAGCAAGATGACGACACCATCCACATCTATTTCGGGTCAAAGTGTCCTTGGAAGCGGGGTCCCTTAGTGCTAATGCACAGGGTCAGAACCGCTTAACACGAAATAGGAAGTACTAGCTAGCCAATCAGAACCGTTGCAACAACGTGCATCAACGGCTGGTCAACGTCAGATATGAGCATGGAGCTTATTGGCCCAAGTGCATGGACATGCACGATATCTATGACGTTCGAAGATGAGTTCCCAGCTATATTTACCCGACAGTCCCTTCTCTGTATGGCCAACCGTATGAAATTGACCACATTTCCAATCGAGTCCCATCCAGCTGACCACACCTTTCGACGTTTGCCTTCACGTTTTCACAATGGCCAAAGGAGATTACACCCTCGCAGAGGGTTGTCCATACCCGCGGAATGACACAAGTGTTCAGCTTCGAAATGGAGGAGGTGGTGGCTTGGTTCTCCTCCAAGACACACAGCTTATTGAGACGCTAGCTCACTTTGCCCGCGAGAGAATTCCCGAGCGGTATGTATAGGAAGAAGATAACACATTGTGTCAATACTCAAAGCAAAAAAACTAACAACATCACGAACCATAGGGTTGTCCACGCTAAAGCAGCTGGGTAAGTCAGTAGTGGAAAGGTGCAAGTGAAGAAACGCTTTGCAGCTAATACGGTTTTCAATATCGCCTCAAACAGAGCATACGGAGAGTTCGAGGTTACCCATGACTGCACGGATATCACTTCTGCCAGCTTCCTTAACAAAGTTGGGAAAAAGACCAAAGTTCTCCTGCGCATATCCACTGTCGGGCCAGAACGAGGCTCGGCCGACACAACACGTGATGTCCACGGGTGGGCCATGAAGCTCTACACAGATGAGGGGAATCTGGACTGGGTTTTCAACAACACTGTGAGTCTATCCGTTGTACTGTCTTCATGATCGAAGCCGCGCAGTTAGTAGTGACTGGTTGGTCTCCATGTTCAGCCCGTCTTCTTCGTCAGAGACCCGATCAAGTTCCCCTCTTTAAACCGCTCACACAAGAGACATCCACGTACCAATTCGCCCAACGCAGATATGGTCAGTGTTAAACCCTAAGCATCTGTTTTCAGAAATTACTGACCTTACAATAGTTCTGGGAGTGAGTGGTGGGCCTTCCCTCTGTTGTAACATTACTAACCTCGTATTCGGTCTGCAGATTCCATGTAGGCAATCCCGAAGGTATCCACCAACTTCTGCATCTATTTAGTGATCGGGGCACACCAGAATCACTTCGTCACATGAATGCGTACAGTGGACACACATACAAGTTTACAAAAGAGGTATTTATATCTAAATAGTACTCACCATACCACAATCATGTGTTCTAACCCGCTCTTTTGCTCAAAGGACGGCACTTTCAAGTATATCAAAGTGCACATCAAGACGACGATTGGGGTCAAAAATTTCGATCGCGAGACCGCGACTAAGGTAGCCGGCGAAAATCCGGACCATCTCGTTGATGACCTCTTTGGGGCAATTGAAAAAGGAAACTACCCTGTGTGGGAAGTTTTTGTGCAAGTCATGGATCCTAAGGAGGCCGAGACCTACAAGTACAACATCTTTGATATGACGAAGGTGTGGTCGCACAAGGACTTTCCTCTGCGTCCTATTGGTCGTCTGACCATGAACCGCAACGTAAGTACATCAGTGCACCTTGTCGAACGTGGGAATAATACTTGGCTATTGACACAGTCTATGACGTCAGCCCAGAAACTACTTTGCAGACATCGAACAGGCCGCATTCTCGCCGTCCAACATGGTACCCGGATGGGCTCCATCCGCAGATCCGAGTGCGTATTCTCTGATTGGATAGATTTTCAATCACATCCCCACCGCCCGTTCGGGTCGCACTGTCTTTCCGCAGCAAACTAACACCATGTGCACGATTTTACAGTGCTCCAAGCTCGCATGTTCGCCTATCCGGACGCTGCTCGCTACCGCCTTGGCGTCAACTACCAGCAGCTTCCCACTAACCACGCCGTGGCTCCCGTTTACAGCCCCTTCCAACGTGATGGCTTCATGACATTCACCGAAAATTACGGCGAAGACCCCAACTATATCGGCTCCATGCTTCAGCCAACCACGTTCCGAGCCTCTGCCACTACTGGTAAACAGGTTAGCACCACACTGACGGAACATGAGAAATGGGTTGGCGAGGTTTCATCGTATACCAGCAATATCCAGCCAATAGATTTTGAGCAGGCAGCTGGCCTCTGGAAAGTTCTCGGCCGTGAGCCTGGCCACCAAAACCGGCTAGTAAGCAACGTTGCGGATAATGTGTCTAAAGTTACCAATACGCAGCTACGTTCGAAAGTATATGGTACGTTTCTGTTTTTCTCCGTTTGTTGACTACATGAGACGACTGACGATTGACACTATGCAGATCTCTTTTCCGGCGTCAACAAAGACCTTGGAGACCGTATTCGCACAGCCACAGAGGCAGCCCTGAAATAGAGCATATATAGAGAGCAATAAGTTACGAGACCACACAACCAAATGTGTGTTGACTTTGGCCATAGATATGTAAAGAAATTGGACACAAACGCATTAGATTTTTGCGTTGGTACCCACCAAAGCTTTAGTGGATTTCTGATCAAAAGCTGCTTTCTCTCCTGAATACTCAGCACGGAGTACAGAGTATACCCCGTTTGTCAAAACACCGGTACAGGGGGCAAGTTTGCCACTGGATTACGGAGTATTGCTGTGGGACATTGAAAAAGAGATCGATTTTTTTCCCCATCTCCGTTGCAGCGTCTCGAGCTAATGATCACTGGGGAGTGCAGGGTCCACATAATCACGTGGAGCTGACGGGCGCATCTGCCACCGTTGCTTGATTAGTCATCCAATGACGGTCGCCCAACCTCCGCGCATGGTCAATTTTGTGAATTTGACTTCGTTTTCACCTACTTCGACCTGGACGTTGCGTAGATTGCATCACACATTCGCTTCATACAAAATTGACTCTCTGCGGACAAAAAAGCTTCCTGCTAGCAATGGACGTACCGTCGCAGGTTCCCGGGGCTGCTGCGGAGACGACACAGTTCACCTTCGTTGTCAACCAAGACCAACGAAGCGTGAGGAGCCATGCGATGCGAGGATACTGGAAGCAGCGACGGAAAGTGTCACAGTGTCATGATAAGCGGTCATTGGCACATCGCACGCGTCCGCTGCTTCCGAGCACTGGGTCCTATGCCCTTGGAAGCAGTTCGCACCATCGGATAGATCGCCATGGCTCTCTTAGCTTAACACGATTCCCACAGGAAGGGTTTGAAGGTGGAGAGGGTGATGTGCCTTATGCACTGCAGCAGGACGGCTCTGATTCCCAGCACCAGTCGGCAGCGACAAGAGGGATCCCAACCCAGCTTCTCACAGGCCTCAACCATGCGTTGGCAGGTTGCCAGCTCGATCCGTTCGACATGTTCCCGGTACGATTGACGGCACAGCATCACAGGCTCCTTCATCACTGTAAGTGTGACGCCATTTAAAAGATTTGTGCTCGTCTAAGCCGTCCGTATAATTGTCTAGGGCTGTGTATCTACGCAACAATGATGTTCGAACAGCCTCCTGCAGACGCCTTCAACCCGATGCGCGATGTCTGGTTTCCCCTGGATCTATCAAACGCGGCATCATTCAATGCCATCATGGCTCACTCCGCTGCTCATCTCGCACGACTGAACGGCATCAAGTTCTCCCGCGAGGCTTTCCGCTACAAGGCCGAGGCGCTGCGCATTGTCCGGCTCTGGATGCAGGACCCAGCCCGCACTCTCAGCGACGAGGTTTTTGCTGCGGTCCTCCGTCTTCTCACATACGAGGTAGGTGCACTCTCTGTCTCCTTGTCGCGTCCCCGATATGCATTGCCTGACCTTTTCTTGCATATAGCGATATTGGGGTACCGAAGCCGAATGGCGTGTGCATCGGGATGGTCTTCAACAGATGATCGAGGCACGGGGTGGCATCGCATCACTTCACAGCAACTGGCGGCTCGAACTGGTCACGTATCTGTGAGTCCACTTTTCGGTCTTTCCCTGATCTGACTCTGTACTGTACTCACAGATACAGCGTTTCCTTGATGTCCAGGCCATCGTGGTTTGACAGCTCCAACAATTTGTTCGAGCTATCGGAGCAGCCCCAGTCGACCGGTTTGCAGTCTGCAGACAGTGATGAGCATCTGCAACGCGTGCGTGGCCTGTGGCTCCTCTCTTTCATCCAGGACATGCGCACGTTTTTAGTCGACTGTCTTGCACACGGCAGCCGGACTGTACGCCAGTACAATGGCGTGCAAGAGGCTACGCTCTTTCTGCAGGCAGACATGAAGCGTCGCATGCTCGACCCCAACCGCCTAGATGAGTCTGATTTTTGCTCGTCGGCCGAGTTCCAGCGTCTCGCTTGCATCTTTTTCATATGCATCCTCCTGCAGACGCCATTGGGTGAGCCTTCATTCCCAGTCGACAGCAGCAGTGCCAGCAGCATCAGCAACATCAGTAGCGTCAGCGGCAGCATTAGTAGCATCAGCGGCAGTACCAGCGACGGTGAGACCGAACTGCTGAGCAAGACGAGTGGTCTGGCACTCATGGATGCATTTCTGCTCTCCAGTCGTGGCCAGACAGAATCAGTGGAAGACCTGTACACGCGGTTGTTTTACCAATTTGCGGAACTGCCAGACATTGATCGGAAGACCAAGTATGCGCTACAAATGACACATGTTCTGGCGTCTCTTAGCAATGAGGCCCGCCGTGGGGTGGAAAGATGCCTGTTGCGGATCATGCGTCGTGCATCCGGTGGAGAGGGACATGGGGGCGACTATGGGAGGCAGTCAGAAGAGCACTGGACACCAGATGACTTGCTCTCGTCAATACGGGGTCTGTGAGCGACTTGTAAGAAATAAATTGGATAAAATGACTAATCGCGCGCCAACTTGGTATAATAATAACTTTCCCTTTCCATGCTACCCCCACACTTGTTTAAGACCAACCCAGAACAGAACCAGCGGTACGGAGTACGGTTCCCACTATACCAGACCCTTGTCCTTCTTAGTGGGAGTTATTGGCTGGGACGTGTCCTCGGTGGACTTCTGAGCATCAATGATATACGGCCCTTCTTCCACCTTGTGGATCATGTGGGCGACGTTGATCTTGGGACCCTTGAACCACTTGTGGGCATCGACAACGAACCAGATGATGGCTAGGACCATGGGGCCACCCCACACGAGACAGGTCCAGTTCATGCCGTCGGCATCCAGGTCCGAGCCAGTGACGGAGGGAAAGCAGAGGATAGGGATCATCAGAAGAGTAAAGGCAGTAGACAGGCAGCCAGCAATAGGGCTGAACTTGCCGAGGTTCCATGGACCCGGACGGAAGCGATCGCCGACGAAGAAAGTACGGATGGTGATGGGGATGGTAAAGGCGACGTAAGCGCCAATGGCACCGATAGAGAAGATGGCCCCGATGGCAGCATCGCCAGCAAAGATGAGGAGGACGAGGAGACAGCCGATGACAGTATTGAACCAGACAGCATTGACAGGGGTCTTGGTGTACTTGTTGACACGCTTCCAGTAGCCGGAGAGGGGGAAGCAGCCGTCGCGGGCGTAGGCAAAGGTGACGCGGCTGGCGGCGATCATGCAGCCCTGGCCCATGGAGAAAGCGGCGATGATGGTGAGCGAGAGGCAGGCCATAGCTGTTTTCTGGCTGAGACACTGCATCAGGTAGCCGGCCCAAGGCTGGCCGGTAGACGAGTTGAGGACGCCGTCAATGTCGACAACGGTGTAGGCAACGGCCATGTTGAGAGCCCAGCCGGTGACGCCTCCAATGCCAGACGTCATGACGATGGCACGGGGAGAGGCGATGTTGGCGTTGGAGCACTCCTCCGACAGATGGAACGGGCTGTCGTAGCCGCTCATAGTCCAGATGACGGCGATGAAGGACATAAGGATGGAGATGCCCTTGGGAAAGTCGGTGCCGGCGTAAAAGTCGCCCCAGACGTCGTGCGAGTTGTTGAAGCGCGGCAGGCCCTGGCTGACCCGATTGTCGGCCGTCAGGATGATGATGAAGACGACAACGAGGGCCACCATGTTGAAGGTGCTGCCAGCCGAGTTGAACTGTGCGATCCACCGCGTCGGCATGGACGAGATCGCGCCGTGGATGATGAGCAGCGCCACAGTGAGCAAAAAGATATGCCAGTTCTGCGGGCTGTAGTCGGGGTTCGAGATCGATGCCGCCGCCAGGATCATGCAGGCGAGAGAGTAGTCGACAGAGGGGGCGCCGGTGACCTGGCCGAGCCAGTTGGACCAGCCCGTCACCCAGGCGGCGAACGGTCCCCATTTCGGCGGCGCAAGCACGGCAGACGCGTAGTACAGACCACCTGACGTGGGCATAGCAGAACACAGCTCGGCTGAGTTTCGTTAGTGCGGAGGCGAAAAGCAGAGGGGGAAGACGGCGAAAGCAGGGAAAAAAACACTCACCCATTCCCATGGCGATGCACTGGATAAAAACCATGGCGATAATCCAGCCCCAGACCATTCCTGGTGTGCCAGAATAGCCCATACCGTAGTAGAGGGTCGAAGCCACGGAGGGCAGCAGACCCAGAACGGCAAAGGAAACACAAAAGGTCGTCCATAGCGAGAATTCACGCTTGAATTCTGGTCTAACACGGGGGAGGAAAGGCGGAAAGTCAGCATTCTAGGCCGCTTCAGGTCTCGCCTTTCATCGCAGGACGCAAGGTCGTCTCACTTGTATCCCAGTGAAGCAAGAACGTCGTCGTCATCGCCGTGTTCGCCCTCAAAGATAGGGATTTCCTTGGGACCGAGGACAGACGTCACAGGCTCGTCGCCAACAGCCCGGCCCATTTCTTTCTCGCCCATCATCGTGGTTGTTGTGCAGTCGCTGTTCCTACTCTGGAGAGGCAGCACGGGGTAGAACAAATGGGCGTGCTGTTGATGCAAAATGCAACCGATTTTCCAATCAGCATTTTTGTCTGCAGCGAGACTGGAAATCGCCAGATTATATCCTCACCAGCCCTGCGTTTTGCGATGTTTACGTGCTGCCACCCTGTCACGCACAGAGCTCAAAAACTCGCGGCCGCAGGTTTTGATTTTGATAAGGTCGCTGTCCCCGACTGGATGAGCACAGCCCCAGCAAGGGTCGGTTCCCCCTCCGTCGTACCTATTTAGTTAGGTCAGATCCAAATAGTGGCTGGCTAAAGGCCAATGTGGGGACAAATACACCTTTGATAACAGCGGCGCCTGTACCTTCTTCTTCTGACACACAAAATACATAGACCGCACTGCTTATCCAGAAAGGGAGTCCCATTCCGGCCGAAGAAAAGATAAGACTCTGCACGTGATGCACTCCAACGACCCCCATTCGCGATTAGGCACCCCAGAATCAACGCGATGCAGCCAGGACCTTTGCATATATCACTGTTCGTAGGTTTAGAATGCAAGCGAAAAAAGACTGGCTTCTGCTGGCTGACTACTGACGATGTATCTGCAAATGCTTCGGTTGCTTGGCTCAGCCGGCTTGGCAAGTCTGCCAGGCACACAGGTGTTTTAGACCCTTATCTACGCACATGCGGAAACTTATCAGTGACTAGCGCGTTCCATGCATCGCCTCCACTACTATGTGATGTTCTAGAAGCGACAACGCGATCTAAAGTGGCCTTCTTATCCTACAATCATGAGACCTGCGTCACCCCCGCGGCCCATCATTTCTCGCACGATAAGATGCACCGGAAACACCGGTTCGAAGCGTCAGCGCCAAAAAGGCGCGTCTTTCCTGCAATTCCCGTAAGAAATGGCCCGTGGAAGTACAATCCGATCCCACAGGCCCGGGACTATTTTCCTCGTTTGGGCTTAGGGCAAAGATAAAAAGCTGGCCTTGCTGACCTAATCATGTTTTGTTATCTGTGCCAACCTTGGATAAAACCCCGCAACTAAAGCCCAAAACGAAGCTGACAAAACGTCGAGTTGGACAGCCAGCTCCGAAAACTTGCCATTCACAACCTGTCGTATTTGTATTCAAGAAGTTAGAAAACCACGCAGGTTGCTGCATACAAGTTCCGGTGCTGCGATCAATAACGCGTGCTGGAAAACTTCGCGGCCTGTCGACTGAGACAGTCACAAATAGTATTCCGGACGTTGGTTCTCCGGAGCTATTATCCGTACTACGTAAGATGACATTCAACAACCTCGTGTCTCGCCTGACATGGGCAGTGCTCATCCATGGCGCCGGGTAGGCCTAGGTTCCGCGAGACATGCCTTTTGCATGAGCCTTTCGTCTCGCCGTTATGAGCCGCAATCATGCGCGTAATCGCGTAAACATCGTTTCGCAATGTATGATAGGTCTCCGTTTGATTCCCAAATGCGGTTTCAATGCCGCACCTTTTTCAGGGCAAATTTTGTATAATGCATAGCATGGTGTATATCATATGAATGTATAAAGTATAGTCTCTGTCGGAATTGCCTGCAGAGCGATGAATATGGCTACTTCAGTATATATAGTAGCTGAACAGAGGATCAACCGAGTTAGTTCTATGCATGTGCAGAGTACATTAGATATACTCAAAGCTGAAAAGACAAAACCCACGTAAGAAATAGTTAACAAATAAAGTTGAATGAGTTTAGATTCCAATATTTGTCAAAAATGATAGCAGAATGTTAAATACTAGAACGTTCTTGTAATTTTATACTGACAATTTGTAGATGTTGTTTGATTTTATTATGTACTTACTATTTCTATATTTTATCAAGGTTCGTGATAAAAATAATGTACCTAATAATTCACTAATTGGTTTCTTCAATCAACGATTCTTAGCTGAGAAATATCACAATAGATACATAGTTAATAGTGTTTAATCTTTAGGTGGACAAACTGTTATAGTAATAAAACATCCAAGCCGATAACCACATAAATTCGTGTGCTTCTGGTTCCGTAAATTTCAGGAACAGACAGCTCTCTGCATGGACTTTCTTAGAAACAAAGTATGTTTTTACACGATACGTTTTGGATAGTTTGTATGTATTAAGACTAATATGGACTAAGTCTTAGAAATATGTAACAGCGAAAAGAAGATTGGTCCTGGAACTGGAACGGTGCCAGTGAGTATTCGCTAGGAATTGCTTTCAAGGCTACGGATTCCATTTCCTTTAAACGGATGGCCAGCCGCCCGACCAGGTAAGAGTGTTCCAGCCGAACTGGAACTGGCTATCAGCAAGGCCAATGTTGGTGTTGGCTAGTAAAGAAAGTTAGCATCAGATTATACGAATGGTTTGAAACATGCTGGAAGCAAACAGAAAAAAGACGGAGGGCACTAACCATAGTGGTAGTAAAGGACGGTGCCGTGCGTGGGGTCAGCAAAGATACCCTGGCCACCAGGACCATAGACGTAGCCGTGGCTGGACAGAAGAGTGGTGCCACCACCGGCGGTGCAACTTTTGCCGGTCTGGTCGACGAAGCCACCGGTAGCCTTGGTGCTGCGGCAAACCTTGATGGCGTACTCGTTACCAGCGGCGGGCTTGCTGGTGTCGAAGCCACAGCAGGTACCAGCACTCCACAGGAGGTAGTAGTAGCCTGAGCGGTAGTACATGAACGATCCCTCGGCGGCGTGCGACCCGGACGAGTTGAACTGGACTTGGTAGGTAGCGCCAGAGGATGCCTTCGTAGGGCTATCCATAGCAACCTAATAATGTGGAGGATAGAATTAGCATATTAAAATTGGACACGAGTGGGTAATTATCCGACGTACCTGGTAAATGTCACCCCAGAAAGAGCCAAAGTTCATAACGTAAGACGATCCAACAGCGACCAGGTTAGGGTCAATAGCATTGTACGGGCTGCCCTTGACGGACTTGACACCGGTGCTGCCGTGGTCGGTCCACGAACCGACTTCCATTGTGGCGGAGGTGGCGTAACCGATTTCAGATGCCTGAGAGCCAAAGGCGGAGACAGCATAGTACAAGTAGTATGTGCCGTCAATGTAGTGGACTTCTGGGGCCTATTTGCATGGGACAGAGTCAGAGATAGGATCGTTTTGCAGGTGTTTCCCATTCACAGCTTTCAACCCTAGAACGCTTGGTAACCTGTGCTTAATGTGTTGACTTACCCAAAGATCGGTGTTGCCAGCAAGATCGATAGTGCTGCCTCCGGGAAGAGCACTACCCTGGGCTGTCCAAGGACCAGTGAGGCTATCGGCCTTCATGGTGCTGATCTCGGATCCAGTGTCGAAGCGGAAATAGACGCCATCAGACTCACGACGGATCACATTGGGATCGTGAGACCAGCAGTTGCCAGAGCAGGCACCCGGGTTTGAGAAGGCGTTGGCGAAAGTGGCACTGAAGACCGTCGCGGCAAGGCCGGACACAACTGAGCGGAACAACATCTCGACTGTAGATTTCAAACGGTGGACTTGGATGGTCTTTGAATTCTGAGAGAGCCGATGATGGGATGAAAAGAGGCAGAGAGAAGGGGATCTGGCCGTATTGATATACAAGTGCCATTCTTGCCAGGAGCCTATTGACAGTTTTCCTCCCGCAACTCCGATGCTTCTACGAGCTGTACGGAGTATGGGTTTGCCCCCAGTCGGAGGAGGTGAAGCATAAGGGTGGATAACTGGCATACTCGCTTACTCAATAAAACGGGTGTTTGTTAGTGAGTGGAACTACATCAGTCGGTTGCGTGAGCCGTTTGGTGCGAAATATCTGCCAAAGCTTCGTAATTGTGGGGTCCATCTGTAAACGAAGCCTTAGGGGGTTTCAGTGGAAATATGACAGGACACTGCTAGAGGAGACGGACAGTAATACGCGTGCTAACTAGCTTTCACAACCCCGCCCTTTCTTCCGACGAAGAGCTGGCGGTGAGGATAGTACTCCGTAAAACGAGCGGTATGAGCTCAACCAGCCACGGCCCACCATTATCGCTTGCACGTTTCCACTTGAGTAAATCGTGTCCCGGCCGTCCACATTCCACGTCCATAGGCACAACGATGCAGTGCGCATCAATCGTACTCCTTACTCCGTACTCCGTACTCCGTGCTCTGTGCTCCGTGCTTCGTAAGCGTTCCAGCGATCAGTGTCAGTGATGCGCAGACCATGTCGTCAGAAATCTGGTTCGGATACTGCGCCCCGGGTGAAAATCACGGCAATTGGTCTCATCTGAACCTTTAGCTTCGCGGGAATGTTTCCATGCTACAGGAACCCCTGTCTTTGGTGGCGTACCACTGTTCCCTAAATTTGCGTTTAAGGAATCGATCGTCGCCTTTAGCTGACCATCTCTGGCTTACTAACCACTAGCTCGATCCGCAATGCTGGCAAAATCCACGTGGACCTGAGTTGCAAAGGCTATACGCCGCGCAACTTGAAAAAAGCACACAAGATTCTCCTGTGCTCGGAATGCATAGTACTACAAGCAGATACAAAGCCGTGTCTTTTGACCGCCAGATTTTTATACGGTACGACTTGTGATATCGCAATATAGAAATACAACCATGCGGACCTCAGTGCCAGATTAGGAAGGAGGCCGCCGGATGAAAGGCCTAAAACAATATGCCTTCTTTGGTACAATTCCTTTGTGAATACTACGAGTATGTACTCCGTAACAGCACAGTCCTCCGTGCTCGTATGCTTCTCGAAGAAAACGTGCACGCTCGCGGTTTTTTTGCCCCAATCCCCGGCCAACACTGTACTTCTTTCGGCCTCGGATGCGTGGCTTCCTCCGTGTTATTTCCCTGTTATTCTACTCCGTACTCCGTATTCTATCCTTAATATATCATCGTACTTTACTCCGTACGAGTACACCTTCACCGTCGTTCTGAGCATTGTTAATAAAAGCAATACTCTAATCGACGTGGTCGTGCATCCCCGAAATAAGAAGGATCGTCCTCGAAAAGATGCCGACACCCTACATAGTATACGCACTTCAAGGGGTGGTAGGGCTACACCGCTCCTTGTTGATTTGTTGGCTTGCTCAGACATTCACCCTTTTTCTGTCTTTCGCCATGGATCCCCATAGTGAATACGGAGTACGCAGACTGTACTCCGTATAAAGTCAATTTCCCCCGTTCCCATGAAGTGCTGTTGGAGCCCCAAGCAAGCATCTGTGAGCCACAGGTTTTTTGAGGCAATGGTCAGAATACACCGGACCCGGCAGCTTTCATCCAATGTCTTCCGTGAGGGCCATCGTTCCAAGAGCTTAGTGAGGGTAATGGTTAGATCATTTGCATGCACTACCTGGTGGCTAGCACAAAAGTTCCATGCTCTACGGAGACTTCTTTACTTGCCCATGAAGCCCATGAGTAGTCGTACGCTGAGGCGTTATCCTTCGAATTAGTTCAGTGCACAAAGTAGGGTAGTTTTGTGTCTCTGCCGTTACTCCGTAATTTGCAAGGGTAAAGCTCAAGTCTCCATGCTTCGTGCTTCGTGCTTCGTGTCTTACGTCTTACATCGTACGTGTCACTGCTGCTCTCGTCTGTGCTCCCGTGGCCCCCATTCCCAGGCCCACAAATGTTGATGTGCAGCTCAGAGAGCTCCAGAAGAGAAGGCACAGTTCCCTTGGTATTCGGCAACTTTACCTTGATATTTGGCACGAAACGCTTTGGCTGAAACTAGAGAGAGCTCGAAAATCTTAGGCACGGCGGCATTTTTTGTATCGTATGTTTACCTTTTCAAACCCCTCAAGTTTTGCAGCTTTGTGTGGCCTGTAGGTACCTAATTTCACACGAGTATCAACAGACCCTGCAATCGGGTCACTTAAGCCATTCGCACGTTGTACGTAGCTTAGCTTTAGTGGGGTTTACTGCACTGTTCCCCGTATTGTTCTGTTGAGTGAGTCCACGCACGGTACTTTCATTCATTATGAATCATGCCTAATCATTAGCGCTAGAGTGTGTGGCAATGCCAATGCGGTTAAATTCTGGTCCAGACTCATTAGCTTCTCCAGCTATTGCCACTGCCGAACCGTAACTGCCCAATAATACAGCTCAGTGTTTTCTTCAGCTGGACTCCGTAGACCAGACCCTTACTTGGCCCACTTCAGCTTTTAGCTGATCGTAAGCCGTATAAGGTATGCTATCCTTATGCCGATGAATAATCAGGCGGCTGAGAAAGCATCATCAGTCTCTCTGGAGTGTCAAGAGCAAATCCATTTCCTAATCATTGATATTCCGGACAGCACGGCGACTGCTCTTCCACTACAACCGTACCACTGTCAACTCCAACAAAGGGTATATCACCAAATTCGGAGTTAGACTCCATGCACGCTTCTTTCGCAAGTCTTCTGGCTCTCCTCACATGACCGTACCGCCAATTACAACTGGGCAATGCCTCCTTTGCCCAGGCTCTCACCAAGCTTTCCGGACAGCGTAATGCACATGCAAAAATCACAAGGCTTGTTTATTTCGCACCAAGGACATTTAGTAATCGACCTCGAGACACTGTTCAACTATCTGCATCTTGTTATCTTTGGATACTGAGAGTCTCTGCAATGCGGGACAGAGAGAGCTACTGTACAGGCCATACGACAGCATATAATCAGCAAAAGACATTGCAGGTTCGATATATCGACACAGGACTCGGATTTTCTCGACTTCTGTGATTTCTCGGCATCGGAAGGCGAAGACGATAGTGATACAGAAAGCCACGCCGGAAAAACATATTGTTTGCCGAAAAGGTCTAGGCGAAAGTCACAGCTAGCCGATGAAGACTCAATACGCTTACCGTCGGGTAAGATTATATCGCGGCATTTGGCAACGTCAGCGATACTGCCACTAGCCCAACTGCGGCGCCGAGCGCGGAATTTGTCTCCTGGATTTAAACGAGCAAAGAGGAGCTCGATCCGGGTACATATGACGCACGTGTCTTATTGAAGAGTGAGAAACGAGACAGAGCAACGGTACGATACCAGCTAACAAATATAAGCCCAAACGACAGAAACAGTATAATGCACTTGCCAACGTCTCAGCAGCGCTCAATAATAGCCACACAACACAGACACGCAGAGAAGGCGCAGAAAGAAGAGAAAAGAAGGCAGAGGAAGGTCGACCAAAAGGGAAATAAGAATTATATGCCTATTGGGCGATCGAAACGCCTGTCTACCAACGCGGCTAGGGATAATTGGAAGTAGTTGACAAGTTCCCAACTGATCTATTTCTGTGCCATTTTCATTCCAGTTGAGCGAACATCTCAATTACGCTCCACAAAGACATAGCCGAGTGCTGCTAGTCGTATGATTATGAATCAAAAGCAGTCGGCCTAGTTTCTCACAAGCTATTACACATTTCAAAAAAACATAGCTTTTTTGTGACTTGGTTGTATTGTGTACGGAATGGAATCCTAACTTGGAGACCGGACGATATCAGCCTGGGGGCGTACTCAAAACTCACACCCATTTCCACCGAGATACTCATCGGTCCACTGGCTTAGATAGCCGCGGTTGCCGCCGCCGGACTGCAGCCGGTGGCTGAGACGCAGGTGCACACCTTGGAGACAGAGCCCAAGACTCCGAGTCCGCCATTGAGGCCGCAGCCGCCCAGAACACAATTGAGGGCAGCGTCACGGATGACAGCCGATTGGGAGCACTGGCAGCCGTAGTCACCGTTGGTGCAGTGTCCCTGGGTCACGGCAGCCGAGAGGATGCAGCTGCTCGCGCATGCAGGCACTGCGTTGATGGCAGCCGAGCAGGGGCCGCAAGGCGGGGGAGTCACGGCCGGGGCCTGGGCAAAAGCCTGAGCCTGGACACTGGCTGCGGCGCCGAGAGCCAGGACGAAAGAGAGAGCAGAGATCATGTTGACGGTGGTTTTTGTGGGCGTGGTGGAGGTGGCTGCTGTGTCGATAAAGAGTTCTTTCCAAAAGGGGTTATGGCTTACTTACTTGGACTAGAATTGGGAGCTCGTGTCTGGAAAATAGAAAGAAGTGCAGAATACGACCTAGGCCAGTCTGATGGGTTTGGTCGTATTTATACTCGTATTTCTCTCTTATTTTGAGCTGTGCTCCTCTGCCTCGTTTGATTATTACTGCCATCCTACACTATTGTTGGAACGGTGGGTAACGGCGGCATAAATGTCTGCATTTTTGGTCACAAGCCTGTGTGGCTTATCGTGCGCCCAGTTGAATACGCCGACTCCAACAGTCAATTTCCCTTCTGACACGATTGCGCATGCGATAAAAGCTGAGCTGATGAAAGCAAGGAAAGTAACGGATCGAAAACGAAATATCAGCAAACCAACAGTCTGTTTCTGACAGAGGCCACTAAAATAGCCAGCATAGACCCGAACAGGCGAACGGGTTCTAAATTTGAGGAAATCGACAATGTATGAGCTGGACGACGGCTGAACTGATTATGCTTTTGGATCAGCGTACGTAGCCATACTCACCCAGATGGCTGCTGAGGATTTTATAACGTCATAGTTATCTTAGCATCTGTTCCAATCTGCGTTATTGCGTTAGACGAGTGGTTCAAAATATACATGCCCGGTGGCAATTTTCTCTTGTGTTTATGCTCATACTGTGCCAATTTAGGTTCGCTCAGTGTACGCTGTAATAGCCCAACCCAATCATCAAAGACGCCTTCTAAAAATTCAAAGCGACCTCGTTGTTATCGAAGTTTGATACATAAGTGCTACATAGACGGCTCTGCTTTTCAGTCCTCCAAATGATTTGCATTACGAACAAGTTATCTCTAGCAGATGCAGAATTCCATGAGATGACTCAGCTTCTTCCAACCTGACAATACTGACGCAAATGTCACTGCTTATTCTCCTTTCCCGCTTGCCATTTCGTACTCTCAATGTTGAAACAGGTATGCAACATCCTGCACATGTTGTACGGCTCTTCCCACGGGTTTGGCTTAGTCAAGTAGAGCTGATCGTTGCCGCACCATGCTGTAGCCTAAGCGGATGCAGTGGCATTATTCTTGGTATCATTCAACACCCGTAGTATATCTAAAGAGGCCTCAACATTACCATAGCCTAGGTTCATCAAAGGCGCACTGACTGAGCCGAACTTGAGGTTACAACCTCCGGAAGGTAAGATCAGGGGTGGACTAAAGACGACAATATCAGAGAGATAGACAAGAAGCAGAGCCGGAGGTAACTGAAGAGCTTGCCCAAACTTGGCCGCATCAGCACCGCCGCCATAATTATCGTATATATTCAGTGCAAAGCAATCTGCAAGGCTGGCATCTTGAAGGCCGACAAACTGAACGACATCAATCTTTGTCAAACATGCGACTTGTTTGATATAAGGGTGCTCGAGTTTGGTTCCATGGCCGGGACTCGACTACGTTCGACTCTTTGATCAGAGGTCTTGTCTGCTCTACAACACATACTATTATACTGTACATGGATGTCTGTCGAAAGGGTCAAGTGATTAAGCGAGCCATCGCTAAAAACTAGCTTCATAAGCTACAATTTAGCAAGGGGGGGGGGACCTGGTGTGGAAAAAGCCCACTGTGAACCAATCAGGATTCCCTGTTGTGTTCCCCTGAGAAGCTTCCGAGGTATTCAAATATCTACGACGTAAGTACGACGTAGACATTAAGGACTGAACAGACCCACCTACACTTGAACATTATTTTGGATCTTTTTCTTGGCAATATTCTCATGCATGCACGGACTACGGAGGACATCTTTATAAGACATGTCTACTCCGTACACAAAATCCGATCCCGACAGACTCTATTACATCTTTGTCCGTCTACAAAAAGCGAGATTCTGACAAAATCCGCTTAGTGCGAAAACGGCCTGGACTTGTATCTCGGATCGTCCTCCGGTTTGCCTTCGGGCGGCACTTGTATCTCCTCTTCATTGAGGTACCAGCTAGGGTCGCCTCCCGGTAGCAGGGCCTCGGTCAGGCCGTTACCCAGCCAGCGCAGACGGTTCTCCTCGCGGCTCTCCCACTCGTAGTCCTCCCATCGTGGCGCCCGCAAGGCCTCCATCATATGCACGATGCTGCCCGGCCACAGCCCGGAAATGCGACCGCCGTTGCCGCCCTCGGTCTTGTACCAGCTTCTGCAGGCGCCAACGTAGACGGTGGACTTGAAGTAGTTGCCGACGTAATCGCTAAAGTCGCGCACGCGAGCGGCCTTGGGCTCCATGCTGACATAATCCTCCTTCTGCAGCTTGCGGGCACACTTGATGACGTAATCGCCCTGTGCCTCGAGCACGACGGTGAGCGAGCCGGCACCGGTGCTGGCGTTGGGGCCGAGCATCAAGAAATAGTTTGGGAAGTCGTCGATGGCGAGCGAGAGGTACGTTTGCGGGTAGGTTGAGAACTTGTCTGCGAGCGTGACACCTTGGCGTCCCGTCACCGGAAAGGGCGGCACCGATGACGTGTTGAAACCGGTCGCACAGCAGACGACGTCCAGGTCGATGTGGCGACCGCTCGTCATCACGGCGCCGGTTTCGTCTATCGCTGCCGCCTCGTCCGTGATGCAGTCAACATTGTCTTCCACCAGCGCCTCCAGATAGCCCGGCCCAGGTGTTAGCCGCCGGCAGCCAACGCCAAACGGCGGCGAGAAGTGCGATAGTAGCTCTGGTTTCTTCGCCAGCCGCTCCTTGGTGATGGCCGAGAACGTGTCCATGAACATCTTCTGCATATCCGATCCCTGCTTGGACGAGAAGTGCACCATGTTTCCGTCGTCCTCCACCAGCTTGCGGAATTTTCGGTACGCAGCCGGGTCTTGAAACTGCTTCAGCTGTTCTTCTGTGACTGTTTGCCTGTTAGAAACAGCACTATATCTGCATCCAGACTACAACCACCTACACTCTAGCCGGTTCGGATCCAGGCCCATCTGCGTCATCAGATGGTCGCCAAACCGATTCGAGATCCACACCTTGCTCCTGATGAAGCAGCTCAAATGGATGCCCTCGATCTTTTGCAGCACCGGCACAATCTGGATTGAGCTCGACCCCCCTCCGATAACTCCGACCTTTTTGTTGCGGAAATCGTAGCTGCAGGTCCCAATCAGTGCCAGGTCTTTGTATTCTCTTGTGATGACTGCACCACTTACCTGTCATCCCATGACGCAGAGTGCATCGTTTTGCCCTTGAAGGTCCCGAAGCCCTTGATATCAGGCCACTTGAAGTCATTCAGGTTGCCCCGTGCGCTGACCACAATGTCCGCCTCTTCCTCAAACACTTCGCCGGTATCTGCCTTCTCCACGGTGACGTGCCTACAGATAGTAAGCAGGCAGCCTCGGTCACAAAGTTGGGATTCAGCCTCACCATTTCTTCGAGGAGTCGTCCCAGGCGCAGCTCATGACCTTGTGGCTGAGTTTCACAAACCGACGCACCCCGTACTTGTCTGCCACTCGCTGGATGTAGCCGCAAATCTCTTGTGACGGTGCATAGAAGCCGGACCACGTCTTGTTTGGCTCAAAGCTGTACTGGTATGAGTGGGCTGTAAAAGACGAACGTGTCAGTCCATCATCCGTCCATGTCCCTTTCCAAGCAAGCAGACGGCATCGTACACGGAATGTCGCAGGCACATCCGGGATACCGGTTCTCCCACCATGTGCCACCTATGCCCGTGTTCTTTTCGTAGATCTGCAGGTCGACATTGCGCAGTCTTTGCGGGATGCGGATCCCCAAATAAACCCCTGCGATTCCCGCGCCGATCACTCGGATCTTGAGTGGCCGGTGATTCTCAATTGGCGCATCCTTGCAGGTGAAAATGCCTGTGGTAGGAGCTGCCTCCGGCATTGGCTGTGAGGGCGCACTCATGGCTGATTGCTTTCGACCCGGGGAATTCTCAGCACGATAGATTTGACCGTTGCCTTTCCTTTGCAAATGGAGATATGCTTCTTAAACATTTGTGCTTTGATTGTTCGAGCTGCCAATTTACCCCATTCCCGATATCCGAGAAGCTGTTCTAGGGTGGATTTTTGTCAACCCTTTGGTCGAATCCCGGATAATGGTCTTGGCAAGCAGCGCAGGCACCGATGAAATCTTCTTCATGTGACAAGGGGTAATTACCTGGAACTGCTTGGAACTAAAGCCCCCGGTGCTCCACAAGGGTCGCATGCTATATTTTATGGATAAGAAAATTTAGGCTCGCCATGTCCTAGCAGAAACCGGGAAAATGGTTCAGTATCGTTAAGCTCAGAGAATCTCAACCATGGCGATGCCAAATAAGGCGGCCTCTCTTGCTGAACAGGCAGTACGGACCTTTAGATGGTCATTTTTGGCACTCTGAACGGATAGACCAATGCGATCTTGAAGGTTGGGGCGTCAGTTTTCCATATTTCGGGACAACGGTGACGTCAGAAGTGTGTCTATGTTGTCCTGTAGCTCTCTGGCAACTCGGAACTAGACATGTGCTGAAGTCTATACGACATATGTCGGAATAAATCGTCAGTCTTACTTTCTTCAGGAGCCTCGTCTACGCTCTATATTATGACTACTCTTTTAGCATATCAGACAGTTTCGCTGTGTGTATATACTTTTAGCCTATTACAGTACATAGCTATTTGTGTAAGGCTCCTAGACACATCTACGTTGGAGACTGTTCTTTTGCGGACAGAAATGTTGACGGCTCGATGATAAGGTAAATTAGCCATTACACAGCCTTCTCGTCGTGGTTCCAACCAGGCAGGTCTGAGAGGTCTTTGGGTGCTGCCCCTCGGTTAGACTTCAGCGCATCGCCTCCAGGCCGCCATCTCCAGTAGTGGGCGAGGTCTGGGTCCAGATTTCCTTCTATGAGCTCGACAACGTGCTTCCCGATACTAGGGAGAAGCTTAAAAGAGTGCCTGCTAGTATTAGAGTATACTTTGTCAAGCCATACGTCCCGGAGTCGGTACGACTTACCCGCTGTCACCGGTGGCAAGAATAAAGTTTTTCCACTTTGGATACTCGCAAATGAGTAAATCAGAATCTGCCGTGTCAGTGCACCAACACATGCTTCGGTTGAAGAGCTCTTTCTCCTTGAAGCGGGGCAAGTAAGTTGCAATGGCCTTTCTAATGGTGATCTCAGACTCGTCAGGATAAGTGTCTGTAGGATGTTTCGCATGAGACCGGGGAACTGAGATTTTCTTTGGAAAGTCGGTGCCGCAAGGCTGGTGCATTCTGAACCGGGAGAATCCTGGGAATTCGTCGCAGACTTTTATGACACCATACCTGACAAAGGTCAGTACCAACTCTGCTGTCTATGCATTCATCCGGGTTACTGCGCACTCATTTGGTTCAAAGAAGAAGCCGATGTCCCCGTTATAAACGACAGGGACTCCCTTGTACTCAGCTGCTTCCTCATCCGTTAGCTGAATGTGGGCGTATACCCAAGCCTGCACACCTAGGGTTAATAGAGCGTTCTTGTGGTAGTTGTAGTTCTAACAGGACTTTTTACTCGCCTTTGAGCAGCACTGGTCTTCAAGGTCTACAAGTGTAGGACTCCAGGCTCCTGCAGCCAGAACGACTTTGTCGGCATAATACTTAGTGCCGTCTACTGTCTCGACGCCGATGCAGGTGATTCCATCTTCTTTAAAGAGAGGCTGCTTGAAGGAACCAGCACTACATACATCCTAATTAGCTTCGAACTTCAAAAGCAACAAAAAATATGGTGCTTGTCTCACCTCCCAAACCCAAAGTTGACACCTTCGGCTTTCAGAACCTCTCCAATCGCATTGATGGCTTTGGCTGCCGCGAGCCACCCCCCATCCTGGCTATATATCGCCTTCCAGCCCTTTCGGATACCGAAAGTCAGTATGTAGTCTTATACAATCACAGATCACAGACAGGCCAACTCGCCTAACCTTGATTTGATCGGCTTCCAATTGTGGAATTTTGGCCAGAATCTGCTCTTCGGTATCTAACCATTCATGAGTTTCTTCCAACTTCACATCTGCATCGATAAGGGCTTGAAACTCTGCCCGCAGCTCTTCAATGCCTTCTTTTGAACCCGCACAGTCGAGCTAGACGATGTTTAGCGGTGACTGGAAGCGCATATCTTAATGCACGAGAAGGGGTTCGCCTACTCTGCCAGTATTGTGGAAGAAAGGTCGGAAAAGCTCATCGTTCTGCCACAATTCCCTCGCTTCGAGACTTATTCGGATGTCAGACTTTTTACCCACACGAACGCCCATGATCTTGTTCAGATCGTGTCCGGCCGACTGTGCTGAAGGGATCGGATACGTGTCGAGAACGGTGATATTCGACGGACTGTAGCCGAACCGCAACAGATGCAAGGCAGTCGAGGCCCCCATGGTGCCGCCACCGCCCACCACAATGACTTTTGTCGAAGTCCGCGAGGAAGCCATGGTGTTGCTGTCAATTCAAGCGCGACGTTTCGACAAATCGAAAGTGGGAGACATCAGGACATATGTATAAATATTATTGACGTCGTGCCCTGTACCCACTTTGGCGGCTGCCAATTATCCGCTAATTTGTTAACTAGTTCGGAGTCTGTGTCCGTACTTCGTACTGCATAAAGGCTTGCTAAGTACATAGTTCGGAGCATGTGCAGATAGCGTATTTGCGATGTCTTGGTCCCACATTGGTGGAGCTACAGCACGTCTTTCGGCTGGACCTTCACGATGCTTGGCTTGTGGCTTCAATCAATTGATTCATCGTATGACATCAGTCCATTGTTCGTCGCATAATAACAGTGAGTTTCTAGTTCAAGGAATAAATAGAATTAAAAAGAGCAGCCTGTGTCTGGGCAAAAACAATCTCTCACGACCAGGCATCGTGACCTGTTTCCCATAGACACAGCGCAAAATTGATGGTGCATAGCTAGGTGTCCATGATTATGTATCAGAGACCGTGACATTAGGCAACGCTGACGTAATGTTTAGGCGAAGTTTTAAGTTCCCGATACTTGACGCTCTGGGTCGTTCCTTGAAACCCGATATACTTAGTTAGTGGCGCAGTATCTTCAGTAAAGGCTCCTCGGCAGACTAGACACACGTTCTCTAAAATCGCTGGATTCTTGTCCACCGTTTTACTAATGTGAGTTGATATGAACGAATGATGAAAGTGGTCAATTTCGTGGTCTCATGGCTCATATATGTGTGCTTCTTCCCGCGCATGGACACTGAACGATCGCAATGTAGCCATTTTTACAGACAATCTGGACCGATCTTGCTTACGGCATAAAGCCTAAATATTGACTCCTCCCAAAAAGCGTCTCTCCACATTCCCTCCACAAGAATAAGGCAAGATTCACCTATAACGTGTATCCATAACTATATGGGGTACGTCCTCTCACACCACGGCATTGACTGTGGGCCTGTCTCCGTAAGTAGTCCAAGCAGTACCCCGGCCATAGTGTCGTTATACGTATAATACGACAGGTACGAGGCGCGCAGGTAATAGCTAAATCTGAAACATTTATCACTGTGAAATTTCAGCCGTCAGCATTAGCACAGCTTCTACACACATTTGTGATAGTGTCTCAAGCTACCCCATTGAGCTGGTAAACGTTCAAGGGAGTCAATTAGTAGCCCTCGTGAAGGAAGTAGGGGATGAGGCCAAAGCTACCACCGTGCAATATCGTAATAGCCGTCTGGCTACTGTTAGTAAGTTTCACACACACTATAGACTGCTATCTTCAGACTGCTTCGAAGAAATCGGGGCCAGAATTTGACTGCAAGGCAACTCATACTCGGGTAAGAATTTGCTAAGAACTACACACCTATATAGTTTGATGGCCCTGGATTGCAATGGGATTTGGCTCGCGTACCATACTTTAGCCTGGTGATGGCCAGCCGCTCAGAGCACGGGGATCGACACAAAACCAGCTGTAATGGACTCCAAACTTAAATAAGCTTAACGTAGTGGGCCGGCTTCACCGCTACCACGTCGAAATGGACTTTTTACTCCGTATAGGCACTGCCGCAGAAGTACTCCGTGCCGCTAGACTGAGGGTGAGGTATTTTAGCACCATCTTTCGGGACGCAGAGGCAAGGCATTGCAGTGTAAAAAGCAGGCCCTACGCAAAGCACCCCTGCAACTAAATCTGGTCGCCGCGCACGCATCCCGTATGTATGCACTAATTTGTCGATCAGTTGTATCCTCCTGTACTCCGTATGACTCTCAGTCTGTACTCCCGTACACGTACATAGACGGGATAGCATCGGTCAGGTCTGGTCATGTCGTACCGTTGGCTTGGCTATGGTCATACGTTCGAGCTGGGAGTTTCTGTTGACGAGCATCTTACTATCATGTGGGACAGGCTGAGAAGAACCTGAAGAACCGTCTGGACGTGGCCAGCTTGCCAACGACATTCTACAGCCGATACTATGTAGCGGTGTTTTGAAATCTTGCTTCAATGGCGACGACACCGCCAATTTGAGGGTCAGGAGACCGAGAAGAGGGCTGATAAATCACATCATGATTTTTCAGGTCGCAAGGAAACTACCGGATCAGATGTCCGCAAATATCAACGGTGGTGATCTTTCTGGGTTGTATGTGCAGCATTCGAAGCTACAGACTCTCCTTGGCCACGAACCGTTTCGGAGAAGGCGTGAAGCACTGATAGCAGAAAAGTCGCTGCTTAGACTCCTTGCTACTTTCCCTCCGTGACCTGTCATTGTCCGCCCTTTTCCGATTCGTATGTACTTTTCGAAACGGACATCGCCGATGAACAGTCACGTGCACGCCCACGTGCTGATATTTTATGCCTCAATGAATATGCCTCAAACCCATTTTGCCCCCCACAAGCCACGACATACACGAGCTGGCCGGCTGACCCAAAGAGCCTTCAGCACTGGCCACAAAGCATGCAATTTGCGGGCACAACATGTCAGACGAAGAGAGGAGAATAGAGACTCTCTGTCTGCCGTACTGCAAGGGGTAGCGCAGATGACACGAAAAGCAGGGATCCGGCCCTGAGCGGTGTGACTACCCCGCCGCGTCCCAAAACCAAAAAGTTAGGCAGCTCTCGTGCCCGTCCTATTCTCGGACATCCGTGGGCTAGTGGGGGCAAAGGCGGTCAAGAGGCCCCACGAAAACATATTGGGATTACACACAAGTACTGTACCCAAGCTCTAGCGGCCGCTGCTCGCCGATATCAGCGGCCGCTGCATGTACTAGTACGTGAGTCTTTTTTCTGCCGGGCTTTGGAAACAATGAGCCCCGGGCGGTGAAGCCGTGAACTGCCGCAATCCAGCAAGGATCGGCCGACTAAGCAGAACCCAAGCGGCCAGACATAAAGGAAAGCTTGCTGGGCCCGATCGCCCATTTCTCGCATTGTTCATCCATCAACACACGCTCGAGACGATTCCACCCGCAATCGCCCTATCCTGCCCATCCCTTGCCCTGCTGCCAACTTTGCAAAAGTCCCCTCCTCCACCCCGCATCCCTCTGCCCGCCGGTTCCGGTTCTCGACCGCAATGGCACCCATCAAGCTCAGCAGCAAGAACCTGCCGCAGATTGCGGCAGCCGGCCAAGGCGCCACCCAGATTTCCATTCCCACATACGAGCGCAATGGCGCTGTCAAGGAGGGCATCGTGCACATCGGCGTGGGCGGTTTCCATCGCGCCCATCTGGCCGTGTACATCGACCAGCTGATGCAGAAGCACGGGCTGACCGACTTTGCCATCTGCGGTGTCGGCCTGCAGCCGTTTGACGCGGCCATGCGGGATGCCCTCAACGGCCAGGACCACCTCTACACTGTCGTCGAGCGGTCGGCCAAGGGCAGCACGGCCCACGTGGTTGGCAGCATCAACAACTACCTGTTCGCGCCTGACGATCGCGAGGCCGTTGTGGCCAAAATGGCTCATCCCGACACCCACATCGTCTCGCTGACGATCACCGAGAGCGGCTACTACTATGACGAACACACGCACGAGCTGCAGAGCGACCATCCCGACATCCAGCTCGACCTCGATCCCGCCAACGAGAAGACGCCCCAGACGACATACGGCTTCCTCTATGCCGCTCTCGCTCGCCGTCACGAGCAAGGCCTCAAGCCCTTTACCGTGCTCTCGTGCGACAACATGCACCGCAACGGCAGCATCACCCAGTCCATGCTCGAGACGTTTGCCCGCCTGCGCAACCCTGCCATAGCCGACTGGATCGCCGAGCACGGCGCCTTCCCCAACTCCATGGTCGACCGCATCACCCCCCAGACGACTGCGGCTGACAAGGCCGCTCTTTCTGACGGCTTCGGTCTCGAGGATGCCTGGCCCGTCGTTACCGAGCCGTTCATGCAGTGGGTCATCGAGGATGACTTCGCCGACGGCCGCCCGCCCTTTGAAAAGGTCGGTATCCAGGTGGTCAAGGACGTCTCCGATGTGGAGCAGTTTGAGAAGCATAAGCTCCGCCTGCTCAACGGCAGCCACTCGGCCCTCGGCTACCCCGGCCAGCTCGCTGGCTTCAAGTACGTGCACGAGGTGATGGGCAACCCCCTTTTTGGCGCGTTTGTCTGGCAGATGATGCAGGAGGAGGTCAAACCGCTGCTTCCGGCCATTCCTGGTGTCGACATTGATGCCTACTGCCACACCCTTATTGAGCGCTTTTCCAACCCCACCATCATGGACCAGCTGCCCCGCATCTGCCTCAACGGCTCCGGAAAGATCCCAAAGTTCATCATGCCCTCCATTGCCGAGGCTATCTGGCATACCAAGCCGTTCCGCCGTCTCTGCTTCGTTGCCGCTGCCTGGTTCCACTACATCCTCGGCGTCGACGACAACGGCCAGCCATTTGAGGTCGATGACGTCATGCGTGAGGAGATCCAGGAAAAGGCCCGCGCCGGAGGCACCAGCCCCGTCGAGCTGCTGAGCATCAAGACACTCTTCGGCGACGACTTGCGCTCAGACGAACGCTTCCTCAAGGAGATGACCACAGCCATGGAGGACATTGCCCGAGACGGCATCATGAAGACCATTCCCAAATACATTAACTGATACAGCCATACACATTGGATAAGCAAACGACGGACGATAGAACATGATATAGAAAAGCTTAATTAGAGTGCGCCTGATAGGTAATGACAAATAGCATCAGGTTACCATTGCCACGTATCCGAGCAGACAGTCTAGCCTTCAGTTTTCGTGGAATGCCTCCAGCCTCATCCTCCCCTTCATCAGCAGCCAGACCCAGAGCCCATCCACGATGACAATATCGATAAAGCTAAACACCAAGCTCCCACCGAAAACGACACTATGATACATCCACGCATTATCCGTCAGATTGATGACCTGACAGGCGATGGCCCAGGGCAGGACGTATAGCAGATTGCTGGCCAGGCTCTGGTAAAGATACCACCTAGGCCGTGTAGCGAGCAGAATTGTCGCCAGCTGGGTCGAGGCAGCGTAAAAGATGTAGCACCAATCGATGGTTCGCCACATGTGTGCCGTCACTTTGGCCACTTCTGCCGACTCGCTGAGATAGAAGGCAAACGAACGAGCGCCCCAGGTTGAGAGGAAAATGGCCAGCGGAACCTCTACAATCAAGGCGATGACAAGGGAAAGCAAGACCGGCTGAGAGATGCGAAGGAGAGTGCGGAACGCCACGCGCCCAGGCCGACGCACCGTCTTGCCAATTTCATGGCGCCACGACCCCCAGCGGTGCCCGATAAAGGTGAGGCTTGTCGCCTCCAGAGCCTGCACGGGCACCATCACCAGCCCCCAGCGGATCGTGTTGAAGATTGTCCAGGCCGTCGCATACGTCTGCCCCAGGGCCACGATTGTAGAGACCAGCCAGAGGTAGAGCACGTTGCGGACGGCCGACTCGGCCAGCGTGACGATGCCTGGTCGCAGGAGCACGCCCAAGGCACGTAGACTCGGGCGGACGCGGTCATGTTCGCTCTCTCTTCCGATTTCTGCCCGGGCAATGTCCGCTGGGCCTCTACCGTCGTGTGACGGCGCGCGCTTGTGACCACGTCGGAGCGATGTCAGACCTGTGGTCCACAGAAAAAAGCCCAGTCCGACAAAGGCCGAGGTCATGTTGCAGGCCAGCTGGATGCCGGCCTGCATGTTGATCGTCGGCTTCTGCCGACCCACGTGGACGTGCGAGATGATCAGCAGGTCCAGCACGATGTTGATGGAAAACTTGGCTACGCTGATCAGCAGCGGCACATCGGGCTTGTCGAGTGCTCTCGTCGCAGCAGCCACGGCTGCCTCAATGGCCGAGCTCAGGGCTGAGAAGGCGCTGATCCGCACATAGGTCAGGCTCGCCACACGCACTTCGACCGGGACAAAACCCTTTGCAAATGTCACCGCGCCGGCATAAAAGGCGATGCTCATGATCAGGCCCAGCACCGACTGGAAGAGGATCATCGTGTAGGCGAGACTGAGTCGCTGAGCCAGCGGCCGAGACGCCTTATCGCCGATGATGACCCACGATACACGTGGAAGGCCCTCGTTCAGCACCTCGGCCACGACGCCAATGTATGTGTAGACATCTGTCGTCACAACGAGCGAAGAGTCAATGCGCGCAACCCACAGTTTGGAGAGTGTGCTGTAGAGCGCTGGAAGAATGAATGCAGCCACATTGAGTAGCAGCGCACCGACGTAGTGATCACGACTCCAATAGACCCTCCGCTTAGGACCTGCAGCTGTCTGGTGCGTGAGAATCTCGTCCTGTGACGATACCGCTTGGATTTCGTCCTCGTCTAAAAGGGCCATTGCGACGCTTGCGAGCCTTCAGAGGATGCTAGCAGGAACTATCCTTTGCTCCAGATTTTAGAGAATCTTGTGGAGCTAGCGGGGTATATATTGGAATTAGGGCTTAAGGAACGCGGTACTGTCACGTGCACGATATTATAACTGGTTTGCGTAATCGTGCCACGCCCCACTATAATTCATGGCCCACTTAAAAAGTGAACCTATTATTAAAGAGAGTTGCTATTTGCACCGTAAAATTTGGCTATCTGCACCGTATTCCACTGATAAGAAATATGGTACATAGAGTAGGTTTAAGAAAACTTAGTTGATTGGTTAATTTGTTCTGCGCTATACTAGAATAGGAATAGACTTACGTTTTTGCCGTAAAAAAAGTTGCTTATGTTGAGTGCGGGAATGGAGCACACTGTGCGTTTTCCGGCTAGGGTTGGCCCTGCGCGTTCTGATTGGCCAGAATAGAGAAAAGTGGGGAATAGCCCCAGTGAAATCTCTGCGCCACAGAATCAGTGTAATGTAGCTTTTTCTTCCCTAGTACAACACGCAGATCACCACCTTCATGCAGGCAGACCCATACAGTGCCTTCCCCTTCCCCTGTCATTAGCTAAGTTGTGACAGGTTATGAGCCCGGGTCTTGTATCCGGGTCTGTCACGGCGATTTGCGTCATCTCACGATAATTTTCGCCCCAGGGCACCTCTTTTCAGCCTTCGGGCTTCATTTTTTTTCGCCTTAGGGCATCATTTCAGAGATCGTCAGCATCGCGCGGCGTCTCCCAACCGACATTTGGTTGATTCTGGGCTTCGTGGGGCCATAATACTTCACTTTAGGTGCTGGCATCCAGCATCTTCTTCTTTTTCCATGCTTCCATATTGGGAGAGACCTTCTTCAAGACCACCAAATCGGAGGCAGCTGATTGTCGAATCAGAAAGGCAATCCAGCATCTTTTCAGAGCTTCAAGCTCGTTCTCATCGAGGTTCAGCAGAGCAGGTCACTGAGGGCCTGGAGAAGCTGCATCTTCCTCATCAAGGTGACCCCAGAGACGATCATTTCGATTTTGATCAGGTTTCGGGAACGTCAAGAGCAACAACGGTGGTGCTACCTTCGGGAGAACGTCCATCACGTTCAAGAACGCCAGTCAGACGCCTGTTCAGGGCACAAAGTCTGCCTCCCAGTGAAAAACCTGATCGATCTTTCAATATTTTTTCTAATCACGAAAGTAAGCTTCAATCTAAGAAGCAATCTCCTCAGCAGCAACCTCAGCAATCTCGTTCAGAGTCACGACCACAAACTCCCCGCGTTAGTTCTAAACGCACTTCTGTCAACAGCATGGCAGGCATCAACGTGTCAGAGAGGGCTTTAAACCTCTTCTTTAAGCACTGTTCAAAGCAGGTGCCTAAGCTAACCAAGGCGGAGGAATAGGATGACTAGGACAAGGCTCTCAAGAGAGGGCTGGGCCTAATCAAATTAACCCGAATTGAAGACGTCGTCGATCTGACGGATAACGCGCAGGGCGAAATCAAATACGCCCTAGAAATGCAAGTTAGCACGTTGCTCCAAGGCCAGATCAAGGGGGACTTAGTCCTCGAGCGATACCAAGAGCTAGAGCGTCTCCTTCGACCGCACACGGAGGATTTGGCAGTCGAATTCAGTTACAAACTGCACACCCTGCAATGGCGCGATACTAAGAAGATCGAGGAGTGGTTTGAGCGTATAGAAGAGGTTTTCCGTGGGTACAAGACCTACGCAGACGCCCTTTCAAGCAAACTCAAGGCTCTTTATTTAGTAAGCGCCGTTTGCAAGCGTATCCCTGCGTTGAACGCAGAAATTATAGATCAGTAGAGATCAAAGATCGCTAAGCTTGGCAGCGACGAAGTCTACAAAGCCACCAAGCTTTTCGTTACCACAAGATGCAAGGACAGGGCTGTCAACCCCGTCAGCAAGCACAAAGATGGTGGCAAGGACAAGAACAAGGATAGGTCGGGGGGTTACAAGGGAGACGAGAAGACAAAAGACAGTGACAAAAACAAGGAGCAGGGCGCGCGCAAGGCAGCCTCTACTCTAAAATGCACTCACTGTGACCGTACGGGTCATACTGTCGATCGTTGCTGGAAAAAGCATCCAGAACTCCGACCCTCCTCTAACAGTCACCACGTCGAAGCCAAAGATCAGGGTAAAAAGACAAGCTCGTTGAGCATGTTCTACGTCGAAAACCCTCCTAATGCGGATCAAGGCATCACGATCAATGACGACGTTTCGCTTAGCGACTTCGACTTGACAGACGACGAGACCGACGAAGAGATTAAGCCTGCGAAGACTTCGCGCAGTGTAGGCATCACGGCCGACCCTGACACCTGGCCCATCGTGGGCAAAGTCGGGTTTCACGGCCTCTTCCACGGCCAGAAGGTAAACAACTAGCTCTTCAATACCGGTGGGGATATGCACGTGGCGAACGATGCAAGCTGGTTCGTACCTGGCACCCTGCAACCCAGTCAAGTACGATTCATCACGGGCGGCGGCCCAGTGGCCGCGTCGCACGTCGGCCAGGTGGCACTGAGTCTGGCCAAACCAGACGGTGGAGAGCACGAGGTGACGCTGGGGAAGGTTTATTTTGTTCCTTCCTTCCCTATCAACATCTTTTCTGGCCTCCAGTTTTACCTCAAAGGCAATTTCCTGGTGGGACCAAAGCTGTACTGTACCAAAAAGCAGCTGATAGCCAAGCTCGATGTTCGTGCACGAGGCTTTCGCCTCCCTATTCACCAAACGAAGCCATTCGACGCAGCTCCCACGCAGGGGGAGAATTCATCAGTGAGCGTGGCAAGCGCGTTTTCTACTCCGACCGATAGCAACCCAGACGCAGGCGACCCAAAAGCTTCGCGCAGTCTTTGAGCGAGCGCCAGAGACTGCGCCTGATACACCAGAGACTGGGTCATCCGTCCTGGAGGGCGCTCAAAGAGACTATGAAGCAGGCCGAGGGAGGCCTGGTGCTCCCAGAGCACATCACCGAAAACACTGACCCGACGTGCACCTCGTGCAAGCGGGCCAAAGCCAAGCACTTCAAGCCGAAGGACCTGCGAGGGATTCGCGCCTCCAAGCCAGGAGAGGCGTACCACATCGACCTTGGCACCTTCAAGCACACTGCTTTCGACGGCACGCGATACTTTTCAGCAATCAAGGATGAATTTACCGGAGTGCTAGAGGTACTGACGCACAAGAAGAAGTTAGACGCACCAGCCGCGATCAAGGCAGTAATCGAACGCAACGCGAATGAATTATGGTATTCACCCTTACGAATTCATCTAGACAACGGCACAGACATCTCCATTACCTTCTTCGAACGGTACTGCGTCCCCTAAGGTATCAGGTTAATCTCAAGCTCAGTATACGACGCATCTGAAATCGGAGGAGCAGAGAGAGCCGTCTTAGAGATCGTCATTCGCACTATACTTCTGCATCTTCAAGGTCGATTCCCGTTAGTCTTATGGTCTATAATCAGCAAATCTGCGGTCTTTATTCACTTTCTTATGGCTCACAGTCGAGTGGTAATTCCTACTTTCTAATGGCATCTCAACATCGGCCGAAAAGACTTCGTCCTTCGACGTCTCTCTTCTTCGCACCGTCGGTTGCTGGGTATTCTTTTAATTACCATATCTGGTTATTTATCTTATGGCTTTCTCTTGCTGAATGCTAGGGGTGATAAGTTATGTTTTTTTTTTTTGAAGGCTCGTACTTGTTTCGATTTCTTTTTGTTTTATAACAAAGGTGGTCGTTTAAATGACTTTCTTTTTTTCAAGAAATGTTTAATAATTTTTACTTTGTTTATTTCTTTTCTCTAGGTAGTTTTAATCCTCTTCAAAAATTTCCTGGTCCAACAAACCTTAATTTTTAATACTACTCTTCTTTTTTCCCCTTTCCCCTTACTTTCTACCTCCATTGTGGAATTTTTTGTTGAGCCTTTTCTTTTTAATATCTTTAAAAAATTCCTCTTCATTTTTTGTCGTGATTTTTTTTAAAAATTCTCTTTTTTTTGTGTTATAATCTTTTGGGGTTTTTTTTTCTTTTTTTTGTGTGTTCTTGTGGTTGGATAACCCCTCCCACTGCACAAATATATTCTTTGTTTGTTTCTCT